TTTTAATCACGGAAAAACACAGATTTTGGAGGTTTTAATCAGAGAATTTGCAGGTTTCTGGGGGGGAAGGGGTTATCAGAGAATTTGTGTTTTTTTTTAACAGAGAAAACCATGATCCCTATGGGGGCCTCAATCTCCTCTCCCTGCCAGCTTACTTGCGGGACCTGCTCTCCAGGCTGCCTAAGGCCATGTGCATACACCTGCACATGGCACCCCCTGCCTGACGGCCCTCCTTCCACTCCCCCACCCCCATGCAGGCTGGATCTCTGCCAGCCTGCAGAGGGCTCAGCCCAAAACTTCAGAGTCCACAGGTTTCTCCAGCAAAATGAGAAATCCATGTTTGCCTCTGGTAAAAGGTAAAATCCATGGTTTACTCCATTTTTCTGTGGGACATGGAAAACCTAGATCCCTGGTGATCAGGCCCAGATGGCCTGCACTGTCCCTGCTCATCTCCATGCACCAGAATCAGGTGCCCAATCTCATGTGCAGGGCCTAGGGTTCCCCAATGGGTCTGGAAATTTGGCAGCAGAGGAGTGGTGCTCCTCCACTGGCAAATATCCAGACCCCTGGAGAGCCCTATGAGCCAGATTACACATTGTTGGGGGCTGGATCTGGCCCGTAGCCAAGGGGTTGGGCACCCCTGATTTAGAGTCTAAGCAGCTGCATCCATTGCAGTGCTGGCCCTGCTCTAGTGTCTGGATGAAAGTGCATTCACCAGTAAATGAATATATAATTAGCATCATAGTTAAATTAATCATGTATCACTACCGTAAACCATTCATAAGTGCTTTGAGATCCTCTGAAGGGTGATGCTATAGATTTGCAAAGTGATTTCACTGTAATCACTCCATCTTTCACATCGCCTTCTCAGGTTAAAAATAGAAACAATTTCTGAATGGGAAGAGTTACTGAGATATTCAGAAGTCTCAGACAATAAGAACAGATTATAAAGGTAAATGAACCAATGGGTCACTCAGCAGGAATTATGAGATGTAAATCCTGCTTCTTTAAACTTTCCTGTTTTGTCATCTGAGCCCTGGTTCCATTTCTTCTGCTTCCTGCTCTACGAGCAGAAAGGGAGAGCAAAAGACCAGTCACTGCAACTTTCCATGGGAAAAACTGTCTTCAGTTTAATAAATGATATATTAAAAAATGGCTTGTCCATTCCAGCCAGGGAATTTGAATTCTCTTTATATTATCAAAAGCTACTGCTAATACCTGAGCATAGGTTTTGGTGCTCAGGTATTAGCAATAGCTTTTGGTAATATAAAGCTGCATTACCAAAGCTTTATATTACCATTCCAAGATTGTCCGGGAATTAGAAAAAGCTGATGAGAAAGACTCAATGCTCTCCTTGCACAGAAACAAATCTAGTTGTCTCTTGAATTAATTTCTTATTGCTCCAGCTACTTTCATGGGCAATTTATTCCACATGTCTGTTACCCTCTGAGCGATGCAGTCCTGCCTGAGTTCACTGTTTACACCTCACTTATGTGGGACCAAACTCTGAAGGCATCGTGAACTCCTCACTCTAATATATTCTCTTTTGTATCAGTGGGCCAAGTCTTGGGGATTTAAATTCTGAGGGACCTGATTCTCAGTTTTGCACAGAAGTGGCTTTATGTAGCTGATGCAGTGTCTCAGAAGTGTGTATAATTTATACTGTCCATTGTGCTTACTTTGAGACTGTGGTACCCTGCCAGAACCATGCACTATATCTAAGAATAATCAGATATCAGGCTTTAAGTCTTTACATTCTGAGCCCCTTGGCTTCTGTAGCTGTTTTCTTAAGTTACAGCTTTGGAATTTGGCCTTTCGAGGACTGGTCTATACACAGTATTCATAACATTTTACACTGATGTAGAAATCAGTATAGTTAAAGCTGTTCGACCACCTAAGGTAGTTGAAATATTCTGTTGTGTTATAGAAGGGTGGCAGTGGTGTGTGTATGGTATGTTACATATATCCCCTAAATTTATAGAAATAAGTTACCCTGATTCAAGAAGCTTTATACCAGTTTGCCTTTGTCATCACAAGAGTATTACTTCTTGAATTACACCAGTTTCTGAACCAGTATATTGCAACCATACAGCTCCTGCCTATGCACCGACTGTAAATTGTTACCTAATTTTTGTACCCTTTGACTAACAACAAAAACAACAGCAAATTCATTCTGTTTTATCCATCCCTTTGGTGACTTTTCAAACCTGTGTTCCTGCTGTTTGTAGCACTTATCTAATGGCCCATCTGCCTCTTCTTATTTTTTTCTCTCTTTCTTCCAGTTCTTCATGTTTATTTTGTTAATCTTCCTGGCAGAGCTCTCGGCTGCAATCCTGGCTTTTATCTTCAGAGAGAACGTAAGTATTCTGTTGTGGACATGCTGGATGCGCTCTGAGTCCCTGTGGGATTTAGCCATGCCCAGGTGGAGCTTAGTTTTTTAGCTGGTCATGTATGTGTCTGTTGAGCGAGTGTTTCTTTAGAATATCAATGAACCATCAATATTGTTACCTTCAGTCTGAAGAAGTTCCAGGCAGCCAGTGAATATAAACTAACCTGAATTGTGCTAGGTAGATGGCTTATATACACAGGACATATGCTGAGGGAGTACTTAACTCCTGAAGATTTTCAGAGTCCATATTCTCATGCAGGCAAATCATTGTATCAGAAGTTATCCGGATACACATCCTCATAGAAAAATAGTTTTTTACAGTAAAGTTATCTTAAAAGCATCTTTCTTCTTTCATTTTTGATGTAGCACATGCTAATACATATGTTGAAAGACCTTGCCCTCCACTGCTTGCTTTGTCCATGCTGCTAAAATTTGTGCATGTTTTTATTCCCTCTCAGCTTGACCTTCTCCCAGGCTTTTCTGATAATCGCTTTGTCCCTTCCAGGCTCGTTGTTTTTAAGCTTGCCCTTCTGGTCTGTTTTTTTGCCTCCTACCACACTGCCCCTCCTCCCTCAGTCTCTGATTTTCTCCACTGATCCTTTCCCCATAGCACATGTAGAGAGACATTTGAGTTCTTACTTCTAAGAGTATGAATGTAAAACAACATATAGAAAATTGGAAGGGGGTGGGGACTCAGCTCTCCACCTGTCTGCTCTTAGCTTTTGGTAAGTGAAGTTAACTCAGAGCAACTTAGCTGTGTTCTGGCTTCCATTTACCACAGAATAAATGCAGGCATATGGATGGTTACCACACATCAGCTGCTCTGTGGGAAGTTTTCACCCCCCTTTTAACTCACATACTTTGTTCATTTATTGATAAGCTAAGGCTCCTATTTACCTGTACCCTAAAGGACTTCAGCCCCTCCCTACATCTCTGCCATGTGTCTCATTGCACAACCCTTTGCCACCTCTGTTCTGTCAGGCCAGGTACAGACATTACACTTTTACTAGTATAAGTGATCGGAAACTGGTCCATACTCATAACAGAAGTTCGGCGCACATAGACTGGTTTAAAAATGGCAGAACCCAGTCTAAAATTTGCCCCCCTCCATTTCCTACCTCAACCAAAGGGCAAATGTGTGTTTTGTTCACCACTGACCTAAACTATGCTGCTTACAGAACACCTTATAACTTAGCCTGATTCCACCTCAGGCATGAATGTCCATACCTAGCCTCCATATTCCCAGTCCACTTGGCCTTTCTCCCACAAGTGTCTTTCATGTCCCCTCTTGTGCATAAAACATCCTCACAATTATTCTGTAAAGGAAAAATTCTGCCCCACTTCAGCTCCCTCCTCAAATTAAAATCTTTTTTTGGTATTCATTAACAAACCTGTCAGCTCATAATGGGCTATATATAGCTGGTAATTGGTGATTTCTGATATTTATTTTCCTTGATCTTTGATCTATATTCTTACTATTGGTTCTTCATCTACTTTCTGACTTTTCCTTCTAGTTACACGTACATCACAGCCCAATACTGAATATAACAAAAACTTCTGAGCAAGTGTACACAGAAGGACCTTGCAGTATGATGACCTAGTTTTGATTTACTCCAGCCAGGCTGTATTTTATCTGTATAAGAATTTTATAAACAAGGAGAGACAGAAGAGTTAGAAAGCTGATACCAAAACAATACCGTGTTTGTACAGTAGGATGGTCAATGGGGAGGCAGGCAGGGGGTGAGAGTGGAATTTTTTCATTATAACCTGGTGGTCTTCATATCTCTGCTTTGCGCTTAAACAGTTGGGAAAGAGTGGTGCTTTGTAAACAGCATGGATACTCCATTCAAAATGAGCAAGAACTCTCTTAGTGGGAATAGTTACAGCTCTCTAAATAGAAGTTGCAGCTTGGGGGGTCTGATGTGGTCTGGTCAATGCAGCTATTGCGCAGAGAGTTCTTTAGAGGATTCTTTCACAAGTGGACCTCACACATAGAAACAATTCCTCCCCCACCTACAACCTCCTCTCCTTGTCTCTCTCACTGTCTTTCACATACACACACACCTATGCAGAATTAGATATTGCTCATGCGCACGCGCGCGCGCACACACTCACACACACACACACACACACACACGCGCGCGCGCACACACGCGCACACACACACACACACACACAGTTATGCAGAATTTCATATTGCTCCCCCAGAGTTATCTTCACAGGGGACAGATAACTAAATCACTAGTCAGTAGGCTCTTGGGTAAGCAGGATACAGCTTGTGGAGACTGACTGTACCCAGATCCAGAACAGAGGATAGTTTCATAGTTTCGTGTGGCAAACTAGAAAAGAGGCACCAGCGCCTAGACAAACATATGGGGACCTGATGTTCCTTTTGCTTATATCACTGTAACTTGATCACCTCCGTGGAGTTACTCCTGGTCTGCAGGTGTAAATAAAAGAAGTAACAGGCCCCAAGTGATGCAGTCCAGCAGCTCTCATGAAGGCAAATACCCCACTGCCCATATTGTTAGTTCCAAGTGCACAACCAGGTCCTTAGCTGCCCTCTTCCATTTACTGTGCCTGTGTAATTTGTTAAGGTCAGTGGTGGGGGATTATCTCTGCCATGGCTCGTCATTATTTCTGTATCCTTTTTAGGCCTTGATCTTTCAAGGCAGCTATGTGCTCAATGTCCACTGAAGTCATGGGAAGTTGAAGACATGCTGTAAATTGCAAGAGCAAGTCCTTAGCTAGTTATTTCATGAAGCACCCTCTTCAAATGGGCTTAGTATGTTAAAATGTAAAAGAGAACTCTATATCAAGTCACAAGAGCTAAATGAACCCCCCTGTCAGAACAGACAGCTAAGAAAAACCTTGTAGAATCCTGTATTTTTTTAACTTGGACCTCCTCCATCTGTAGTTTATGGATGTAAAGATGTGAAGAATCTTGGAAGCTCTATAATTTTCTATCCACAGACACAAAGTCACTGGGAAACAGCTCTGTCCATGCGTGTGAGGTTTCTGGTTTTGTTCCTCCCTAGCTCCTTTTGAACAAAGCCGAGGTATTTTGTGTTGTTGTATATTTTAAATAGCCCCAGTTTGTAGCTTTGTCAATATTTGTAACTCATTTTGCTATTGTGTATGGGTTAGCCCAGAGCTGGCTGGCTGGACAGTGTGTCTGCCAAAAGGACAAGGTTTGATCTGACTTTGAATCAATATTTGGATGAAGTATTTAGATTACCTAGTTGTGCTGAAACACATTTTTTTCTCCTTCCAAACATGAGGGCTGTGCAAGACAACTCAGAAATGTAAAGTCAATGAAGTTAAAAAAAACTGATTGCAGCAACAATTGATTAAAATGTTACCTAGAGATTCACATTTTAAAATGCTACCGAGTGAAATTGCTCTCCAGGTTGCAGTGTTAAATGTGAATTTGTGCACCTTGCTTCACAGACATTCCTTCATTTGAATGTTACTATTATAGCTGTCGTTCTGCACTGCATGGCCATGTTCTCTAGACAGAAGATATAGAAGTAACAGATAGGTTGCAACTGCTCACTTTCCAGATAGTGCCATACCACGTTATCTAGTACAGTATCTAATATACACACTATCTCCCACACCGCTCTACAGAGCGAAATAATACAGTTGCAAAGTTTAATACTTAAAAGCAGAAGGAGAAAAAGGAGGTTAAGAGACAGAGACCAGGGGGAAAAAAGAGATGTTTTCTGATGAGATTAGAAATTAGATGTAGAGTCAGTGATGCAAAGAGAGGGAAGAAGGGTGCTCCAAATGACAGCACAGCAGAGGAAAAGGTTGGCACTGGTGAAAACTGTGTAAAGGAGATAAAGAGGAAATGGAGTGACTGACATAAGATGGTAGAGAGACATATTCCATCAGTCCAGCAGGACACAGAGCTGTGTTGAAGTGAACCCTTGAAATGAATGCAATCAATAGTCATACTTGTTCTTCACACCTGTGCAGTTCAGTGTCAAAGGTTCCTCCTAGGGAAGGAGTTTTCTTGAGGTGCAGGGCTCTGCTTCACAGGATGGTGGTTATTTCACTTTTAATTTCTTCCATAAACAACATAGGAAGGGAGAAACTTAGTCTGAACCAAGGCCAGCTCCTTCTTGGTCCATCAGAGGCCCAACTAAACGAAGCACAAAAGGGCTTTTTGTTGTTGTTTTTTCTTCTTTGTTTTAAGACAGCCCTTAGTGTGATGGCAAGACTAACTCTTTCACCTGAACTGTCTTCTGGTGAAAGAGTTTCATTCATTCTCTTCAAAATGTCTTTGGGCTTAGTTTTGATGTGTTAGATTAGAACCTATCTGAGAGGGTCAACAGATTCACACATTGGACAGGAAAGAAGCCCACCGGAGGGAGCAGGGATGGGAGTCAAGATTATTGGAATTTATTTCCAGCTCTACCACCGACCTTCTGAGTGACCTTGGGCAAGTCACATCCACTCTTGGTGCCTCAGTTACATCAGCTGTAAAGAAAAAGAAATATGATGATTACTTGTCTTTATAGATCACTTAGAGCTTCATAGATGACAAACAGTATGGAAGAAAGTCTGTTAGACTATCTATGCAAGGAGCACTTGCTGATTTAGGAATATTAACAGGCTGCGGTGACAAGGTTCTCCTTCAGTTGATATGTACCAGTATAGGAAAGCCACCTCACTAGTTTTAGCAGTCGCAACGCATTTTTGCCAGCGTGACTTTATCTCTAGTTGAGTTTTCTGCTAGCACAGCTATGTCTGTCAGGGATCACACATCTTCACACCTGTGACTGAGATTTGTAGATTAGCTCCATCATTGAGCCCTTTAAGCCATTAATGTCTTCAGCTCCATTATCATTCCTGGTTGCATATTCATTTTCTCCCTCTCTGTGTGGCGCCTTGCTGACTTTTATCCTGCGTGTGTATGTATTTTCCTCAAAGAAGAAAGCAGCTTGTGCAGCCCAATTTTGACATTTTTTCTGAACTTCAGATGTTTGGGGCATGCTGCAGTTTAACAGCAACAAAGGAGGATTGGTTTTTTTTTCTGGCAAACAGACCCTTCCAGCTCTGGGCTTTGTTTTAGGCCAAGTCTCATAAAAATCACACAAACTCCAACCAATTTCCTCTGGGATGGCTGCTGTCAAAATAAAGGTTTCACTTTATATTCAAATGACTCTTTTGTTTTAGACTGGGCCAAAGGCGGCCAGTTGGGATTTTCACTAACCGTAATATTAGTTTCAAAGTCTGCATTTAGGAAATAGACATGCATCAATAAAAAGTCTGTGCTACTGGCTCTGCAGGATGGGGATCTGGGTGGGTAAATTATGCAAAAGAAGGGCAGGAGAGAAGAATGCCGACCATATGTCTGGGTCCTGTCTAACTCACTGTTCCCTAATGTACTGATCTCTCAGGGGGAAATACGTGTCTTGTCTGACTGATAGCATTCAGCTTCTCAAATCATATATGTAACTTTGCCGAAGTCCTTTTTCAAAAAATGATTAAGGCACTTCAAAAGCTACCTCATTTGAAGTCAGTTGATTTAAACTTTTAAGTCTTTTATGAGTATTTGAAAATGTTACTCTGTGTCAATTTACATTTTGTAAAAACAGGCCCAAAAACACCTGTAAGGCTAAATAAATGCATAAAATCATTTAAAAAAAAAACCCAAGGTGGCATTCTGGCCCCTTTGGAAAAAAATGGCAGCATTTCCATGGCACGGGGATTACATTTAAAGTTTCCATTAATTCTTGTAACAAAGTTCTAAAGGAACCAATTGATTTTTCAAGAAATATGTAAGTCCTTGCGTTCTTTGGAACCCACACATTGCATATTAAGAACCTGAAAGTGAAGCTACTTTTTCTGCTATATTTAATAGTATGCATTATTAGTAGTTTTATATCAGAAATGTATTTGGCACTGCGGAACTCACTAAAAAAAACAGTATTGGTTTCCCAAAGAGCTTATGGTCTTGAAGATTCCCATCTAGTAATATACAATTTGGAGTAGATTGTGTACCTGGTTGAGACCTGTGGACTTCAGTAGTGCTCTGGGCTAGTGCAGATGTCTGGATTAGAATTCAGGTCTGACATTTAGAGAAAGACACTTATTGGTGCGAACCACTGTTCCAGGTTTAGGTGGCTTAGTTTAAGCCATCTAAACTTGAATCAGGTGTAGCACGTGCAGGCATTTCCGCTTGCCAGGAGTGGTATGGACAGCAAAAGGTAAGGCCAGAGGCAGGGAGTGAGAGATGGGGAAGGGGATTTAATAGATGGGCCTGATTCTGGCAAAGATTTGCAGTAGTTCCACGAAAGTCAGTGGAGAGGGATATTGATGTAAGTCAGAAGACAATTATGCCCTGGACAATTTCTCTTTAAATAGGCCCTTATGTAAAAAAATAAATAAAAGTGAATATTAGCTTTAAACTACCTACATATACCTTAATCTTGGCTTTTTTTTAGTTATTTTTAACCAGTGGTTTTAATATACAAGTTGCATTCAGCACGGATATGGTTAAAGTAGAGGTCAGTGTATCTGAGATGTCGGTATTCCATCTATACGTTATGAAGACATCACTACTTACCTTGAAACTAAAGCTGCAAGGAATGAGGAGGCAAAAGTCAGCAAGGTTTTACTGGCTGCAATTACACAATGAATAAAGGAGGGTTTCATTCAGCATTCTCACATATAAATCAGTATTTGCAGTCACAAAGCTCTGCTCCCCTGCCCCACACACCCAGTCAGAGTGAGTATCATGCTCCTTGGTTTCCAAAGTTTGCATATAGCGTACACATGCTGACACCTAACCCCTGCGCATGTAATGAGCTTTCCAGTTTAAATGCTTGAAGAACCCAAACTAGCCTCTATTGAAGTCAATGGAAAGAGCCTAGTTTACTTCATGGGACATCAGATTAAGTGTTAAAACTTGCAGGCTACATCTGTATGCCTACTTACAGTTGTGGTTTGGATTAAAGCTCAAATTTTTTATAACTTAATCCTGCAAGAACTTCTTGGAGTAGCTGAGCATCCTCAGTTCTCACTGAAATCCATGGGAGTTGAGGGTGCTTAGCACTTTCCAGGAGGTGCTAAGTAGAAGATCTCAGAGATCAGTTCATTAGTTTCTTGCAGGAGGGCAGATTCAGTGCATGTCCTTGAAGGATGTAGAACTGATGTTTTGGGAACTTACCAAAACTAGACCATCTTTGGAGTTTCCTTCTCCAGGGGATAACTGCATAGAAACTTGTTTCTACAGCTAGATTGGTAATATAGGAATGGGTACAACAAGAACAATGGTGCAGGCAATCATCTTCTCTTTTTCTACTAATTTTCTATATTTCAGCTGACCAGAGAGTTTTTCACCAAGGAGCTAAAGAAACACTATCAAGGGAATAATGAGACGGATGTCTTTTCCTCCACTTGGAACTCAGTTATGATCACAGTAAGTCAATGTATGCTCCTGGGCATTTTAGTAGCTTAGAAGAGGAGTGTCCCAGAGCTGCCACTTACACTCCCATGAGGTAAAACACTATGCAGCATACAAGCCATCTTGGATTGTAGTGCTCAATTAGGAGTTAAATTACATTCCTACTGGCAGCACCCACCTTGCTGAAAGTGATGCATTATTTGAGTTGCCAGCGGTCCCAAAAGAACATATCGTCAGAGTCAGTCAGTTAGCTTGATGGTGAGTGCCCTGGTTATTGCTCTCAAGAATACTGTTTCAAACCCTCGCTAGGTCATCAGTGATCAAAAGTTGTTTCTACCCGATGGCTTTTTCATGGCCTCTGTGAGATTGGTTGAGGGGCAAGAGCTTAGTGCAAAAATATTCACTCACATAATTTACTTCATTATTATAATCCTAAAGAAGGAGGAGAAAGATTGATTGTGCTGTCAAGTCTGAATTTTCTTCTCATGCTCTTCTCCAGGAGCAGGAAGGAAAGGCGGTGTGCTTTGGAAACTCTACTGTAGTGCAGGGCACGCTATGCATAATCTGTGGATAAATACAGGACATCATTTTCCATAGTTGCCAATCCAGTTTTACAGTTTAAAAAAAGTCTTGCCTCTTTTGCCGATTCAGGAACTGAGTAAAGAAGTTTTCATTTTATGCATGAAATATTTAAAATGTTTGATGACTGAATAAGAGCATCACTTGAGTGCTTGTAGGTGACCTTCAGTGAACCATCTCGTGAATTAGAGTTGAAATGGGAAATAGAACATTCTGCGCATCAACCATAGGGAGGGTGAGAAATAAATGGTCTACATTTTCTGTAGATTTAGGGTGTGATCTTTATCCGGGCAGTTGGGTTCTGATCCAAAATGCACAGAAGTCAGTAGAAAAGACTCCATTAGATATTTTTGTGCCTCAGTGTCCCTATCTATAAAATGGGGATAACAATACTTTTGTAATCCACTTTGAAATAAAATATACGAACACAGCCTACTTCCTTGGTTGGTTTCTTGGCAGTGGCATTGCCTTTCTCTACCCCTGCTAGATTCCCTCCTCCCACAAAATCATGAGTTTGAAGGCCTCAGTGGCCTGGGTCCTATGTACCTAAAGGAGCATCTTTTTTCCCTTTTGCCCCATTGTAGTTCCTAAAGTCACCCAAGAACAGCCTCCTGCAAGTATTATCAATGCACCAAGTTTGCTATCAAAAACATGTGGGAGGTTATTCTCAGTAGTCACTCCTTGGATCTAGAGTTTCCTCCCCCTTGAAGCCTGCCTGAGCCTTCACATCTTCTGGGAACGCTCTAGAGTTTAAGATGTTCCTGCTTGGGCCGGCATGTAGCAGTCAACGCTAATTTGAAATATTGTTTGGGAGGGGGTCTCTGGATAGGATATTTTAATGGTCTATTCTATTGGCATTTCTAGGTTATTTTGTTTCTCCTGCTTTGTTCTCTTGCTCACTTGTTTTATAAATTATTTTGTTCTCTTCTGAAAGCCACCTTGAGCTTTTCTTGGGAAAGATGGCTTATAAATCCTATCAATAAGTAAATCTGTAAATAAAGATACTGGTGATGTCTCCTCTCAGCATGTAACCAATTAGTTTCTCTTTTCCATTCAATGCTTCCTAGTTTGGCTGTTGCGGAGTGAATGGGCCAGAAGATTTTGAAATGGCTTCTCATTTCCAGCACCTACATTCAGGTGATGCCGTACCAGAAGCATGTTGCCGGCGAGCACTCCAGACTCGGGATGGACCATTCATTGGGAAGGAAGACTGTCTCCAAGGACTGGAAATGTACCAGAACCGACAGGTAAGGGAGCTGATCTTGTGGCTCAAAGGAGCTTCCCCATGACTCTGCTACATGAAGCAGAGCATGATGGGAAGTGACAGTTCTCATCTGTCCCTACCATCGTGGCCATGATGCAGATAGCAAGTGCCTAAACCAACTATATGCTGTGAGTATACAGTCTGTGCCTTATTTTAATAGAGTTCCTTCATTCTGTGGGCTTCAAACCCACGACAGGAGCATAGAGGTGTGATATCAATAGTACATGTCCCTGGATGTAATGAATGCATGTTCTTAGGGTAAAAAATGACACATTTATCGTTGCATTTCCTCACCTTGAAGCAGCCAAGAACCATATTCCTGTTCCTTCTCTCTCTGACTTTTTCATTTGCTTTCATTGTTCCTGCAGTTTTTATTGTACAGAATGAGAAGATTAATGAAATGGAAAGTAGAATTACTTGTACAGTCATTTGTTTCAATATAAATCTTAAATTTCTACTCTTAAGCATAGTGCAGAATCAGGAATTGGTCCTTTTGCACAGGTGGCAACAAGGCACCAGGAAGTTAGGCGTATGCTAACTTTAGTCAGTAGTGATAGAACTCCAGTTACTATCCACTGGCTGCTAAGTGGCCCCAGGGTGAAATTACATTTTTATGGGCACCAAATTGTTCCCAGTTACTCAGTATCAACGTTACAAAAAACCGCACATCTACAGTCAGCCCTTACTGTCACTTGTTGGCTTGCTTAACAGAGAAGGGAGAGACTGAATAGGTCTCTTCTCACTGAAAGTGATGGTTCATTCAAGGAAAGAATTAGCCATACTGAGTGATACTAGGGAAGCATGCAAGAGTAGGGCCTTTGTCCAAATTTCTCTGCCCTGACTTCCTCGGCTCTAGGGATAAGCAGAGCATTTCAGTCACTTTGACTCAGTCCACCACTTTTTTTTACCAGTATTAAGCTTTAACAAGGACATTTGAGACATTATCACCTTCTATTTTGACTATGCACTGAACTAGCCTTTTTCATTAGGTGAATCCACACACTTCCCCTAGCAGCATTGTTCTCCCTTTACTTACCCAAAGCCCAGACACTTCCATTAACACATTGTTCTGTGGTTTGCTCTTTATTATTTTCATCCACTATTTGTAGGACCGCTGTACTGTATACACTGTCTGTACACTGCCTTCTCATCTCCCCTTTGGGCGTGGCAGTAGTTCCATTTCCAGTTCTTGATAGCAGATTGTGAAAGAAAGATGATGAGTTTAGAAATTGTGTGTAAGCTGTTCCGTAGTCTGAGGGCCGGAAAATATTGGCAGGGGTGCTTTGGGTGAGAGATCATAGCAGACGCTGCAGTACTGCTTCTGCCAGGTCTAATTGGCACACACAGGAAAAGGAGGCAGAGAGAGAATGAGACAGAGGCAACAAACTGAAAAACAGGGCAAACGATGACAATAAAGTTGTCTCTTTTCCCATTGTTGCCTTTCTGTTTAAGGGGCATCACCATGGCATATCAGGTGCATGAGTTCCTTTTTCAGTCCTATGGAAAAGTAGATCTTCATTGCTCTTGGTGTTACTGCAGCAGGATGACTGTAAAAACAGAACTAGAGAAAAGAAACTAAGAAATAGCTCATTCTGGTGTTTCTTTAAAGAGAATGGAAAGCTTGTTGAATGTTGATTGCTCTCAGACAGTCTTGAACCAAAGTCAAGATCTTGGAGAGCAAAGCTACCTAAAGCTGCCATACTTGATACTGGCTTCCAGGCTTAGCCTAGTGTGACTGCATGCATCAAAGACAGGTCAGAGGCAGCTAGGACAGACTCACAGTAGGACTGAAATTGGAGTTTTGTTTAATAAACATCAAAGGTTTCATATCTTGGTTCTGCAAAACTGGAAATCAAGCAAGAGCAGACTTTCTCCTGGTCCATTTGTCTGCACAAAAAAAGCCAGCATCAGTAACTCAGTCACTTCCCCAACGGTCCAGCTGCCACCAGTTTACTAGTGTGAGTATTAGTACAACCCAGAGTGAAGATATACAGTACAATGGTAAAAATGCTTAAGCACCATCTATACAAGCACTTGTGCTGCTGATAGAACCGTTACAAATGCACAGCTATCGCTGATAAGCTAGTTCTAATTTTTTGAGGTGCACTGTTTGGGCGCATCCCCACAAGCGCGCACATGCAGTTTGCAGCACATCAAAGCCATTTGAGGTACTGCAAACTGCACACCGTGCATGTGCACCCATTCACTGGGCTGTTAATTTGCAGCACGGCAGGATTTTTTTGACACTGGGAGATCCCGGTGTCAAAAAAACCTGCTGCTAAAAATAGCAAAGTGGCGCATACGGCAGCAGTGTGTGCCACCAGAAACTGAGGCTGGCCATCCAGAGCCATGTTCTGGCTGCTGGCCAGACTCCAAGCAGTGCTGCTGCTGCCATGGGAGGCCCCTAGGATGCCAGGTAAAGGTGCTGGCCCTAGCCTCCTCTGCCCCACTTTGGTCACTTTGTCGTATGCCAGAACACGTGTGCAGGGGCATGCCCTGGGAGAAATAGCAGTGTTGGATAAATATGTGTTGATGCTAATTGTCCCATGGGAAAAGCATGCCCCTTCATGTGTGTGCTCATGGGGATGTGTCCTTTGACTCTATACCAATAAACATCTGCTGTTTATAGAACACCATCCAAAGACCAGTAGGAGGGAGTGGGTCAGTGGTTCCCTGGCAGTGTCTTGTACTGCTGCTTGGTAGGGGGTTCAGCCTGAAGATTGCAGAACTACTTTTGTGACAATGTATGAAGCACCACTGAAGATACTGGGAAAAGAAACAGCAGGTGGAAGCAAGGTTGCTATAGCATAAGGGCCTTGAGAATAGAGAATATTTTGGCGAGAGAATGATAGCAACCTTTCCTTTCCATCTGTAGTAGGGAGAATATGGTGGTCCCTTCAGTGAACACCACCGAGAGTTATTTGTTGTTTGAAATGATGTTCTCCATCCCCTACTCTTTAGCCAAAGGGCACATCAACTCCTGATGACTCCCAGATGTTATTATAATATTGTTATTTTGGGGTGCTTGTTTGATATCAGAATCATTGTCATGTTCAGTAAAGGGCCACATATTGTTCCTTTTGCCAAATGAAAGAACTAGATGATTAAAACCGAAGTTTTAGGGGTGGCAGAGGGAGGAGATGTGTGTCTGTGCACATTTGGGAGGACTGGGATTACAATATACATGCCTAAGCTGCTCTCGTTCTCTCCCTCCGCTACACCCCTGGGAAATACTCAGTAGGAGGCATGTACTTACATACTGAACAGACACTGTTTCTTTTCACATAATCCATTTGCAAAAATTTGCCATTAGGTTGAAGAATTTTAGCACTAGGACAACTCAGCTTTGGATAAGCTGGTGATTCCCAAAAGAGTTCAAATCACTGTTCTCTGTACAGGGACTTTTTAAGGAGTTCCCAGGTTATTAATAATGTGACTAATAATTAATGCTGATAATCCTAAATGACTTTAAGGAGGATGATGGTAATATCTATTTTGCAGTTTAGTGATCCCATTTATCCAAGGGTGCTAAGGCTGCTGCTAGCAAGCATTAATTAAGTCTTCAACCCCCTGGGAGGTGTATATATGATTTGATCCACTTTACAGATGGAGAAGTAAAGAACAGAGTACGGAAGTGACTTGTCCTAGGTTGCAAAGTGAATTATTGGCTAAGCCTGGAATACAACGCAGAAGTGATGACTCAGTCCTCTGTTCTAACCCCTACTCTGTGGTTATAAATAAATAAACCCTTCAATCAAAACAGCCTAATTAATAGCTGCACCTCTAACCTGTACTGCCTAATTTTGTCCATCTTTCTATCTATTTCCCCTGCCTTTCCTGTCTGCCTGCTGTGAGGCTTGGACTGATTAGTGATGGGTCATGACTATGTTATTCCTGCCTGTTGGTTTTATATGTGGTGCACTAAACCTGAATATCCCAGGAGGCTGTCCTCCATCAAGGCACCAACTAACGTGTCACTGTCACCTGCTTTGTAGTGGACTGGGTATCACATACCTAGCTTTTGGGTTGAAGAAGAACTAAATAATCAAGAAGGACTCTAAGTAAATGTCTAGAAAAAAGCAAAAGCTGTTGTTTGTTTTTTTCACCATGGTTTATTCCTTCATAGGGCTGTTACACTGTGATCTTGATCTCCTTTGAGACCTACGTGTACCTTGCAGGAGCTCTTGCCATTGGAGTGCTGGCCATTGAGGTACTGTAGCTGTTAGCGTGATAAAAAATGCAGTATCTGTAGACACAAGCTAGCAACAGAGCTGAACACTCTCCTTTCAAGGAGACCCATACCTGTCAAGATGTAGCAGGAAAATTATTCACTTGTAGTTCAAGTTGACTAGTAAGTGAAGGCTGCATGTTTGCTCAGAGCAAAGAAGTAAACTTGGGTCACAAACCTGTGTACTGCCCTCTGGTGTTAGGCATGGTGTAGAATTACAGATGTATTTCATGCATAAGCAGAGATTTCAAGGAATCTCTAACACCTCTCCAAAGGCTGAGACAACCGTAGATAAATCGTGCCAGTGTTGTTGCTGTTATATCATAGTAACATCCAGAATTCCCCAAGCAGGCATGTGTGGCACCCATGTTATGTAGATCCTGTACAGAAACATGCAAGGCATGGTCCTTGCCCCAGACTGCTGCTGGTCTCTTTGAAGACAAGACCTAGCACATGAGTGTCCCAGCCCATAGGAGTGGAGGAATGAGGAGGCTTCTATACAAAAGTATGATTCCAGAAATGAATTACAGTCACAACTTGAGTAATATATTCAAACTATGCCCTTTTACGTGCATGTATTTAGAGTCTGAAATAAGGGCGTGAGAGCATCTCAGTCAGTTTCCCTTGTATAATTTATTACTGGCTCTAGCAGATCCCAGTTTCCATCAGAAAATCTCACCTACTTGGGAGTGATACCACTTTGTCATGCTGTTACAGGGGTTCTGGCATGCAGCTTCTCACTCATTAGCATTATGAGTGGGTGGTGCTCTTGGATTTTTAGGAGAGCATCTCATGGAGTGAGGCTGGGCTTTCCCTCCTGCTGAGCAAAGCAGACCAACAAGGGCGTGTGAGCTTCACTGCACTAATGAAAGCAGGGAATGGGAGGGGTGACACAGGGGGAGCAGGGCCTGCCAGAACACCTTAAAGTGATTTGGAAATGAACTCAGGTTGCTGCTATAGCCAACCTCTATTGGATTCTTTACCTGGATTTGGCTGACAGTGGGCATGGCTACACAAGACACAAAATTAACAGTAGCTTAATACTACTGCACAGTTGCATGTCACATCAAAACCAGTGCTAATACACTGCTGTACAGTAGTATTAGGCTACTGTGCAGTACCATCACTAAAAAGGCATGTGCTAGCACTAATGTGCAGTAATGCCAGTTACTGCGCATTGATTTAGTATTTGATTATACAAGTACTAAAATGAATGCGCGGTAACTACGGCACATTAATGAACGTGTAGACGTGCCCAGTGTGTGGGATTGGATCTAAAGCAATGAAGAGTGTGGGGAGGTAGAGCTTTTCCTTCTCTGCTAAAACCAGAGAGGGGCTCCCTGTCCTCCCAAACGTTCTTACTGCTTTCTCTGACCATCCTGTGCTCCTGGTTCAATCTGTGTTTAAATACCAGGTGGGAGGCAATGCAGAACCATACCTGGGATTAAGTGAGGGCTTTTTCATTGTTGTGTAGGATGCTTCTGACAGTTATGTTCTGTTTCTCCCATCTTTCTCACCCCTTCCCAGCTCTTTGCCATGATCTTTGCAATGTGTCTGTTTCGAGGGATCCAGTAGGAGGTGTCCCGTGAACAACTGTGATGATCCCATGGGCTTGGGAGAAAAGAAAAAAGGAGGAGGAGGAAACAAGAAAAAAAAACTTTATTTTTTTTAACAATATTGGGGGAAAAAAGGGTTGTGTAATATATGAATGACCAAAAGGATTGTACTTCAGGGGCTGGAACTTTGAGGTGCTGTGCATTACACTACAGAGACCAACCTTCTCCCAGGGCAGCCTGCACTGCTGTTGATCAGGAGCAAAGCACAACTGATTGCACTAGGGACTGAAGAACCCTGCAGGGAGGTTGGGAAGGGAAATAACATGGTGCCCCCTCAGTGCAGAAAAATGCCTAGTGTTCACACCTGTATCATTTATGTAGTAAAGGAAGAGAATAGCCAAGTGCAACACAGTGGCTAGATTCAACACACACAGGAGCAGGTCAGCCAAAATCACATGGGTGTAAAGGTCAGGAAGGTTTTGGACAAGCAGGTAAAAAGGGTTTTTAGTACCAGAAAACTGTGGCAGCTTCTTACTTGCTGATTTCAAATTTGGACTGCAGTTCACCAATGAGGAAATGGAAGTGTGTGTTTACTAAAGGAGAGTCAGCCCATTTCTCTTGACACCTCCAGAAGAAGCAGGCCGCCTTGGACTGCTGGGCCTGGGACATGCCTCCCCCTCGAGTTCCCAGCATGGGGGAGGAGAGTACTTGGTTGGAAGTGCCCATGTGGATCTGAGTGGGCTGAGATGTAGTCAGAAGTTCGGTTCATATCTTTCCTTGTTTCTCTGTCATGTTGGTTGCCTGTTCAGCATTTAATAAGAGAAGTGTGAGCAGTTCCCAGTTTCATCTCCGCTCCTCTTCAAAAATGATTACGAATTAGTCTGCACAAGGAAAGCTTACACTGCCACCCTCAGGAGAGCAGGAATATTGTTTCTCCTCAGAATCCTTGCTGCTTCTCATACATTGAAGAATAGTTTGTAGTGCTTATCTGCATTGAGTCCCAGTGTCTTCCAGCCGTGCGAGGAATTCCCAGACATGGCGCTGGTAGCAAAGTGGACTATTTGCAGTTGTCTCCCATTCTGTTTGTCACTGTAAGCCTTGCGGCTTCATTTCTGCTCTGAAAATTGCCCCACAACTCTTCCCATCAGACTAAGAAGAGTGATCAGGAGTCCTGAATTTTGCTGCCTGTGTTTGGTATCCCTGAAATGCAATTTTTGTCCTGACTTTGTAAATATGGGTGGCATTGCATTTTAACAAAGCATATACAGTGAATTTAACCTTCATCCATTATGACAGGACATGATTTTTTTGTGATATAGTTTGTCCAATAAAAGACATAGTTGGCAGAGATTTTGGGCAAGCTTTCAGGGACAAAATACCCTTCTTCAGGCCTTTCCTGAAAGTTTGTTCAACATCTTTCCCAATTATACAGTTGGTCCAGTAAAATAACAAAAAAAAACCTTGAAAAAACTGTGCTAAGATGGCAGACTGCTCCATGTGGACGAATAAGCTCTGCCTCCTGACATGACTGATTAGCCTGCCCATAGCACCATGCTACTTAGCAGCTAAATGACTTCTGGCTCTGGCTAGGCTAATTCCACTCATGGGCTTCAGACTGATGGAGTGCCCTCAATTTTGGTTGCCAGAGGTTGGGTGCCTTCTTGAAGTACCACTTTGACATTTAAATTATCTCGTGCATTTAGTCCTTTAACAAGCATTCTTGTTAAAGGACCTGGATCCTAGGGTACAAAGAACAGAAATGAAGCTCCAAGCCAGACAGTATTTAGAGTGATAGAAGTGGGTCTATTCTATAGCAGGGGTTCTGTTCTCACACTTGAGCGATTACGTCAGGATGAAGCAAACCCATTAAAAGATTATCAGGCCTGAGCACTGCTAGACCAAGAACCCTGCCCTAAAATGCACCAAGAATTAGGTTGCTGATGGATGAGGAAAGCACATCACAACCTCACAAATAGCTTTGCTGATGACTATGGAAATATTTCCCTGAATGAAGAGAGACGAATCTATTCACTCCAGAAAGAAGGGCACAGTCATGAAGAAAGCCAGACACCACTCACAAATGAAGTCAGCAGTGAGGAGATGATAAAGTTATGATAAGGCCTGTTAATCACTGAGCAGTCTTAGATGCTGTGTTAAAGCTCCCTCAAATGGGTTCCTAGATGGTCTCTCCACAGGAACTGTTTTTAGTAGTGCATGAAATTCTGCCCAACTATACTATGAAGGAAAACAGCTCTGCTAGGCAGAGACAATGCCTGCCCCTCTTTGGAAGTCTCTGTAATTTGTACCTAAAATGCCAAAAATTGGCTGCACTTAAAGAAAACTCCTATGCTAAACTATCCTGAGTCATCAGCCAGCCGTGGCTTGCTGAGGGGCAATGGAGACTGATCTTTGGAATGGGAATAAACCACAAGAGTAGGAGAAGCCATCTAATTGATGTGCCTCTCATGGTACAGGGCATAAAAATGGTGGGGGGAGGGAAAGCTGTCCACTGCACCAAGTGACTGTTGCTCTCCAGTGGAAAGCAAGGGTGGGAGGGAGAGGTTAGTAATATTTTTTTATTGGACCAACTGTGTAGTTAACATCTCTCCCAACTATACTGTTGGTCCAGTAAAAGATACAACCAAAAAACACCCTTGCTTCTCCCATATTTCCTGAATCATTACAGTAGAAAAACACTCCAACCTTACTCTCCAGTGGGGACATGATTGGCACTGGGGAAGAAAACCTAGTAAAATCAGAGTTGTTAATTGGGAAAAGTAAGCAATATCAAACTGGCACCTGGCCTCCTTCCTTTTCTGTTCACCCCACGCCAGCCCTCTTAATGTCTTGCTCTTTATTGAGAACAATCTGTTAAAATCAGAACTTGCAGTGTAGCAGGGGGCAAGGAAGGCCCTGGCTGACACAGGCTCACATAACTGAATGCAAAAAAACCAGCTCTCCCATAAAAGCATAGAATAGGCTTCCAACTCACAAGATGTCCTGCAATGCTCTTTCCTCAGACTGTGAGCTGAGGGAAACCTGTGAGAGCCAAAGGAATAAATACGGGAGCAGCACAAAATGTTGTCTTTCCAGGCTTACTTCCTTCTGGTTTTCCCCATTCTTTGTTCCTTTCCAAAGTTTCACTTTCAAATTTCCTCCCTTTCCATTTTCCTTTATTTTCTCATGTCTGTTCCCACTCCTCCATCTATTTTATTCCCTCAGCTCTCTCATCTCTTCTTGGACTTTCCTTTTTTTTTCTGAGAGACAAGAACGTTTCTTTCTGATCTCAACCATACATCCTGGTTGTCCCTTCTTATTCTTCTCCTTTGGTCCATCTTTTGGCCTCTTGGTGCTATTCTTGCTTACTGGTGTCCTCTATTCTCTCGTTCTCCCCTTCTTGCTGAGATCTTCACGCCCTCCTTGTAAGGACCAGAAGGTGTCATTTTGGACATAGCTGAGCAGCCAGGAAGCAACCCACTCCAGTAAAGAAATGGAAATAGCTGCTAGGAGAAGTGCAAGCCCCCAGTGCAGGTTACAATCATTCCAGGGCATAAGGAGCCAAATGGGAATATGGGGAAATGTCCTCTGCAGAATTGGGATGAATGGGAGGCCCCAGAATTGAAAATCCTTTGTTACTTGGCAGCACAAAAGTGTTTTTTTACCACAGTGGGGTGATGCTGCTGACCTCTGGTCTCATGCTGCATAATAACCAATGTGTTTTGCTCATTTTGGAACACTAGGCAGGAGAAACAAACCCTTTTTTGTATGTCCATTTTTTCCCAAGTTTCTGCTGCATTCTTCTGGGGGCCAGAGTATCAAGTTAAAAACCACTGCTTGCTGGACAGTGCTGCATAAGAAGGTGACCTAATGGGGAGTCATCCAAGTGCTGGTCCCCGCATTGTAGAACCCAAACCACATCCAACACACCTTTCGTGTAATTATAGAGGGCAGTTTGTTTCTGTAAGTCGACAATCCCGTCTGTTATTTAACTCTCAAATTACTGTTGTGAGTGCCTGGGAAAATGGGCTACGTGTGTAATAACGTTGAAATCTATTTTAGAAATTGTAAATGTTCCTTTTATTAGATAGTGGAGCTAATTTATCCTGTATTCCCTATTGTAATGCTTTTTTATATTTGAAGGATTTTTGTAATATAAACCAGAACACGAGCCTGAAGCATTCTGCACGGTTTCTGTGTGCATTTCTTAAAAAAAAATAAATAAAAGAAATAAAGATATTGTGACAGTGAAGTGGCACATTTTTAATTTTCACTTACTTAGGTGATGGTTCATTTTAGCTTACGTACAGTCACTTTCTCACCAAAGGAGGAATAAACTCAGTTACAGCAGCTAGGATGAGGTATAAAAGGAAACCAACACACCTAACAGGCAGAAAAAGCTGATGTGGGTACTGGAAATAGATAGCCTTTCTCCTTTATACCAACTGCTCAAATCTGCTGGACTTCACTGAAGGTGAGGGTAACTAATTCTGGGATTGTACAAAGACAGGTTTCGTTTCTGCCCACTGCAGGGCCAGCTGCAGAAACCAGCCACATAAATCTAGGCGCATCTCTGTTGCAGTACACAAGCCTTCGGAAAACAATACTCCTCTCAGCAATGTACAGGGCTGTACAAAGAGTCTGTTATTCCATGTGTCTCCTTTTCTTCTCATCCTTTCCCAAGGAGGTGAACTGGGCCCATACTCCTGATTTTACAGGTGGGAAAACATGCCCATGAAGGAAAAGTGCCTTGTCTAAGGTCATCAGTAGTAGAGTTGTAACTAAAGTCTAGGTGCTTTTAACTCCAAACTCTCTGCTTTCAACCCTCTCCAGTCTCCAGTGCCTCTTAGTCATTATCTACTGTTCCCCTGGGCACCACCTGTGCCAGGCATATATGAGCAAACACAATTGCTCAGCAAAAAATTGCCAGGCCAACCCCAACTTGTCATTAGAGTGGGTGGGACGAAGGGCAGACACCATCCCAGCTGTGGCTAGAACTGGACTTATTCTTGCCAAGGGATTTAATTCTGTTACACAATCTCTTAATTCCCCATTTTAGCCAAAGCAGAAGAGGCAACCAGCAAGCCTTGTCAGCTTTCTGGCATCAGGCACAGGAAATCAGCCATGGGGACCATCAATCAGCTGCTAAAAATCCATCTTAGTCACTTCTAGGGTCACTTAGACATAGTGTTGGAGGTTCTCTTTCAGCTAGTATGTCATGACTGCCAGGCAGAGAGGATTGCATGAACTCCTTCCCATTCAGTAGAATCACACGGGCTTGCATGTTTGTATGTTCTCTGGCTCATACTCTCCCTAAGGGTGATGATGACAGCACTACAGTATATGACACAATAACAGCATGTCAAGTCAGAATTCAGAAACCAAACTTGAAATAAAAGCATTTTAATGTAATGGGGCTTAGACACACACCTGATTCACCATCCCATGTCCATTACTTTTGTTAGGGAGCAGGACTTCATCCTGACTAGCACCAAATCACCCCCCTGATAAGCTGCAGTCTGTACCCCTGTGTTCTGTCCAGGTCACTGAGCATTTAGAGGGGGCAGCAAGCACACAAGAGAATAGATCTAATGCTTGTATTATCCACAGAGTTGAAAATTCAGCAAAGAGAAACCTGCACTGTGCAGGAAGCAGAGGGACTTGGGGTGTCTGTTGAGCTCAGTGCCTTCAGAAACTAAAACTAGATTTATACTGTTCAATGGCCAACAGAGCATACAGGATGCTTCACCACTGCAACAGAAGCTCATCCATGGCCTACTTGATGGTGATTTCTGGGTAATGAAATGATGCTTCCCAATTAGATGATGCTGTTTTAGCTGAATTAATCCCACATCAGCTCTGAGAGAGAGTGAGAAGATATTTCCTTTCTTACCCACACAGTCCCCATCTTCTGCAACATTCCCCCTATTACTGTGGTCAGCTTTACCTTTCTCATACTGCCAGTATTCTTTACCTTCTATACCACACTCCCTCCAAAGATGGGGAATCTCCAACATGTAACATGCTTACCCAAAGGCCCTATCAACAGCTACAGCCAATATGTTCCACTTAATGAACATGCAGTTCTGCAGGCTGCAACTGCCCAAATTCAGTGACAGGTGTGAAAGAATGACCACTGGTCGATGCATGCAATACTCCATCTTGAGCAGAGCAGTGCCATCCAGCCTGGCCTCATCTGCAGAACTCTGTGGGCAGCACTTAGGCTTTCCCTGTCCCCCAAGGAAGAAAGCTGCTCTCCTAGCACCTGCTCACTAGGCTGAAATAAAAAATACCCCAACGAGCCAGATGCTTCTGAGTTATAAGTTCAGTGTTGGGCATGAGCTATTCAGTAGTTTCCCCTGTGCAGGCAGGAGGGCAGCACTTGAAAGAAGCCTTGGCAAGTAGGTTGCAATTCTTCAGACTTCTACCTCTAACTGGACTCTGCCTCCAGATTCTATCAGTCTCTACAGGTTTTTAATCATCACATATATCACCAACTCAAATATTTTTTAGCATTTCTACTCGAGGCACAAACTTTGTATGGCCAGGAAGTGCAATGTATGTGGTGTCCCAAGTTCATGCAGATGCTTGTAAATACTAAAAGCAAGTCACAGAAATAGTCTTTTGGAGATACTACACTGTACAGAAGCTGTACCACAATTGCTCACTAGATGTCCCTGTTAACTGGACCAAGGCATTTTTTTTTCTGATTTATGCAAAAAAAAAATTCCCTTAGTGTTAGCAACAGTAGCAACCATGGCAGTGGCAGCAGTCTTAACTTTCTTGTTTACAACTCTGTTCTAGGTCCCAACCAATACGAGTTTCTAGGTCAGTCAATTTTTTTTCCATTTGTAGACTAGTCTATTGCAACAGCTCTTCATGTTGGTGCATAAATAGGAAGTCCATTTCATATATACAATCTTCCTAGATTCAGTTTGGTAGAGAAGGAGAAGCATGGTACTATGAGAAGTGTAGGCATGTGTGGAGGGGTAGTTTCTTCATTGGGATGGTCACCAGAAAAAGTAGAAGAGCCAGTGCTGTGGAACCAGGGCAGGTCTTGATAGGACTTGGAAAGAGAAGGGAGGGAATTGGCACTGAGGTCCTTTTATGTCTGGTCTATCTGGAGAAGGCAAGATCTCCCCTTCTTTGCCACTCTTTAGCCCATTCAGATAGGACCCTGGAAGCCGAGTGCCTCAGAACCTGGTCCTTCCTCTAAAAGATATCAACAGAAACTTGATACCCATGTGTAAAGGGTGCAGGAGACCTAGCTTATCTGGTCCTTCAGCATGCTAGACCAAGATTGTTCCCTGCTACAAGTACACTAATGATTTATCCAGTCTAAGCTGTATCTATACTAGGCTTTCCTCTGCTCCCTCCACTCTTTTTGGTAACAAAGGTGCAGCTCCACCAGCAAGCTCAAACCTGTTGCATCTTGGTCAGAAGAAACAGTGTTTAAAATGGTATGGGACAGACTACAATGCTCGCTATTGCTAATAGACTGGTAGAAGCTGGACATTTTAGTGGGGAGGAGAATTTTCTCATCAGAACCATCTCAGAGAAATTTCAGGCTCTAAGGCCTGTTTGGAGCTCTTCAACCTCCATCTCACATTTCATGCCCAGTACACTCTTAAGTATTATTTTTCTGTCACCACAATAACAATACCCTTTTGCTCCATATTCTTCTGTAGAGATCCCCTTGGCTTTACTTTTAGAGGTAGCGTGGCTCTGAGTTTTAATAGAACTGCAGATGGCCTATAATAAAAGAGGGAATATGAATGAGTTTTCCTCTTGTTTCTCCATGTCTAATCATGTGACTCCTGCTTGCATTTCCATAACACCTGTTGCCAGGTTAAATATACCATGTAGTATTTGCTTAGGTAAAAAAGAAAAATTATTCAGCCACAGAAAGAGCTGTTTAGTGCCACCCAAAGACACTGGCCTGGGTTGGTTCTAGATTACCTGAAATATACTCACTCAAAAGGGGAATATGAGTGATGGTCCAAGTTAAGGGGCCCAGGATTGACAGGAATGAGATGAGTCCTTTGCTGGCTTGCTTGGGTCCTTCTCTCCTTTGGGATTTGGTTTCAATGTGCTAGTTCTATTTTGTGCTTTGTTCAAAGGATTAGGAGCTGTGATTCCTAATGGCCAGTTTCCTCAGTAAAACCAACCCCTTTCCCTGAGCCAGCCTAGCCTTTACACCTTGTTAGCCTCCCTCAACCTATTCACTTGCCTTCTCCAGACAGGATCTGAGGGGCCTGCGTGTCTCAGCTCCTTCCCTGCGCCTTGTCTAACAATGGCACCAGCACTGGGTTTACAGTCCGATTCATGCCGGTAAGTGGAAAGAGAACGAAGTTGCTTTCGAACAAAAGGGATTACCAGAAAATTATGCAGAATTACTGACACAGACCCCTGCCGCTCCCTGCCCAGGAAGCCCTGGAAATTAAACTTTCTTGGGCCGGCGTCCAACTTGGTAATAATAGTAAATGCTGATGAGGACGAAGATAGCCAGGCTGACAAGAAGGAGCATGGCACCTGTAGATATTCGGCTGCTCTCGACCAGGGTGATGGTGGTAACTGAAGGAGAAGGAAGGAGACAAGGCACAGGTTGAAATACAATAATTAATTAATGAAATTTGTATAATCCTTTGCTGTTCTACACATGCCCCCCTGTTCTCAAAGAGACTTCCCCATCTTGAAAACCAAGCAACAGTCTCACATTTTCTGCCCAGTAGCACCACACTCTGCTTCTAACAACTGCTGCTGCCCGAGGCCTTAGGAAATCAGCACTACATCACAGAACCAAAATGTTGCTGAGGCCACATTTAACAGTAGAGTAAGCTACAGGTGAGGGCTGGGCAGGTTCCCACGTCCTCTGCAATTTCACAGCCACAGGCTCAACCCCAGATGTGTAACAGCCAGGGTCTGTGACCTGAGCAGTGGTGGAGGCAGGGATTGGGCCAGCTGTGGAATCTGGGACGGCAGCAACAACAATGCCCTTGTGTCCTCACTACGTGAGAACCTGGGGTCAGTGTTCTGCTTACCCGAGGCTCCTTAGGATACTGCTCATCACCCACAATCAAAGTGTTAATTTGGTGAGAAAAAGGAGGGTGAGGAATGGGACACATTGAGCCTTAGCGTCTGACCAAGTCTGAAACAGCAGTTTGGAGAGTGTGTACTACCCTCCGACTGTGGAGGGTCTTACAGGTGACAGATGAAGTAGGGAGTTTAAACAGAAACATCCATTACAAGTGCCTTCAAAGTTGACCTGTCTCTTCTAGTAACAAACAGCTACCTTGTCTCCAAACCTGCCATCTTCCTCCACGGTAACTACAATGCAACTAATGCATGGTCAGTACAAAAAATCCATAGCGTATTGAAAATAACAGGACTGTGTAAACTACATTGAACTGAATCTTAAATAAACTGTGTGAAAGGGAGAGTTCCACAGTGACTTTACCCATTTCCACATTTAGATGTAATCAAAGCTTCCCTACTAAATGGAGACAGCTTTCACAGACTTTCTGGCCTACCATACACCAGCATGCTACAGAACCTGGCTGTAGGGGGAGGTGCAACACCTGAAACTTGGGTGGAAGCAACCTGGAAAAGGGGTATTAGAAGCAAATCTGGCATTCCCAACATAAGCAGTACAACTGCTGTGGAGAAGGAAAAGAGGAAGGGAGACAGGAAAAGCAAATACAAGGAGGGTCTAAAATTCCCCTCTGCTTCATGCAGTCATTTACACCATAGCAAGAGCAAAATGTTACCCTTGTCCTTTTTTACTGCTTTGCATCCAGCCAGCCCACTTTGCCCTCCTGTTTCCCAGAGTTGTATGTTCCCATAGGAGCTAAGCTGCAGACAGTCAGACCTGAGGTGCCCAGAAGGGTTGGGTTAGCACTCAGGCTCGGGATAGAAATTACACAAACTGGTATAAGTGATCAGAAACTAGTTCAAATCTGTAACACAGCAGAAGTTCAGTGCACATAAACTGCTTTCAAAATGGCCAAAACTGGGTTAAGATAAACCTGGATGGATGTAGTATCAGACTTAACTGATTGAGTTTCATAGTTGGTAGGGTTGGAAGGGATCTGAGCAGATCATCAAGTCCGACCCCCTGCCATGGCAGGAAAGAGCACTGGGGTCAAGTGACCCCAGCAAGGTGTTCATCTAGCCTCCTCTTAAAACCCCCCAGGGAAAGAGCCAGCACCACTTCTCTTGGAAGTTGGTTCCAGATCCTAGCTGCCCTGACAGTGAAGTAGCACCTCCTGATGTCTAATCTGAATCTACCCTCTGCCAGCTTGCGACCGTTATTTCTAGTCACTCCTGGTAGTGCTAAGGGAAACAGGGACTCCC